TCTCAACCCAACCCCTTTTGACATAGTTGTGAGAAATTCATGTGAGATATTAGTAGACAATGTAGAGAAGTTTGTTTTATGGGACTGGGACCTAACCACTTTAGGGTCTTACAGCAGTGAAGACATTTTGTCTCGGTACTCTCAGAGCACTGTAACTGTCAGCTCTACAGCTGATTGTGAATACATTTCTGAGTCAGACAACGAGGAAGATATTGATGACTCCTGGTCAGATTCAGACGATAAGAGTCTTGAGCCCCATGAGCTCCCATTCAAGGTCATGGGGGTGACATACAGTAAGCGTTACCAGGAAGTGTTGGAGGCAACATTTATGTCAATTGCAAACAACAGTGACATCCCATAGGCAGACATTATTGCAGAGCCAGAAAATCCAAAAGATACAAATGCAATTACAGTGCGAATATATACAGACAATGGTCCAGAGAAGGTGGGATACATTCAGCGTGAACTAAAACAATATGTCCATGCAGCCATGAACACAAACAGACTGGCCAGTGTAAAGATTGGAAAGACTGCTTTTCGCACCACATGCATATGGTACCAACCAGGTACGTTTTGGCCTTTATCTCTTGATGCAATAACCTGCTAGCAATAGCAATGTGTTACCAAACGGGCACCCTATCTCCGATTGGCGACTCGGACCACCTATTAACAGTCACTGCGCTTAGCATAAAAGGCAAACCGCCAAGCGCCAAGTCTGGTTATTCAACAAAACGGCACATTCCTCACAAGTCCTCCTCGGAGACGGATGGCCCACTACAAATAACAAGACGGGGAGAGGACATTGCGCAGCGTGGACGATGATGCGCTGGACCGACTGGTGTGTCACAATGTTAGCAGCCTCATCACCAAGCTGACTGGCATCCACCCAGACGGCAGCAAAACTACAGCAGCTGGCCTAATGCAGCTGTGGCGCTCAGGGCCAGTGACGACAACACGAGACAACACCTGCCTGAGACGAAGTGGACCAAGGATGCTTGCTACCGACTCCTTGATGGAAGAGTGCTGTTCCTGGTGAACGAAGTACAGCCCACCGGCCAAGACGGCATGTACTATGTGCTGTCCGGGAGCGACCATGAGCCCAACAACGAGATGGTTGCACAGCTTCAAGCGCGGTAAGAATATTTGTCGTTGCTACAGAACAGTTTGCACAATATGCCGTGCATGTGACAAACTCTTATGTATATAACATCTGCAGACATATTAAGAGACGCCTTTACCCTGATGTAGTTGTCGTGGCTTAAAGAAGTTCATTATTTTTTTGGTTATCCTTAAATTTGTTCGTACTTTTCACATATTAAGAGACGTTTTTGGCATAGATGGACTCTGGTGAACAAATGATACCTTTATTGCACATTTTAAGTACAGACAAAATGTTTTAAAAATTCTTTGTGCATGTTTTATTGCTAGGCTGGTGCCAACCGGCATGCTCCATCGTAACGGGTGCAACATCGCAAACGTGGGGACCGGCGAGTGCGCCTGCCTCGACTTCGTCTGGCGTGGCCCGGGGATGGACAGATGTAAACACGTTCAGGCCGCCGGACTATTCCATACTGGGGCCGACCGCGAGGTAGAGAAAGCCCAGGTTGCCAACTTCCTGAGGAACCGTGAGAGGCTGCAGCCACCTGAGCGAAAGAGACCAGTATACCTCTCCGCCGACAATGACGCTGTGTTCTCGGCAAATTGTGAGGAGAACGACATTCAGCCCATCACTCCAGTGCCCGAGAGGGAGCTACCAGAAGGCGTTAGACCAGCTCCACTACACCGGAAACGACCGTGGAGAAGGTTGACCACCGCCGACAGCCACCAGCCTCGGGTGCCTTCCCGCGCCAGGAAGACCAAAGGCGCGAAGCCACGATGGCCAGCCCGACTGGCACCCACCAACCGCGACGGAATAGACGCACCAGAAACAGACGAAATCGCCTGCGTCTGACACGGTCTGTGGGGTGAACGAGGAGAGCGACGAGGTTTTCGTGAACTGCGACATCTGTGGTCGTTGGAGCCACACGGCATGCTACGGCTTGGGGGACGACGTAACCAAGTTCGTGTGCATTAGCCTCATCCCACACCAGCCTCATCCCACACCACAGCCTCATTCCACACCACAGCCTCATTCCACACCACAGCATCATTCCACACCACAGCCTCATTCCACACCACAGCCTCATTCCACACCACAGCCTCATTCCACACCACAGCCTCATTCCACACCACAGCCTCATTCCACACCACAGCCTCATTCCACATCACAGTCTCATCCCACACCACATTCTTATTCCACACCACATCCTCATCCCACATCACAGCCAAAATTTGCACCTGAAATTGCGTTTCAGAAGGTTAGGAATTTAAAATTTCCCGGGAGGGGGGATGTAGTTCTTACATTAGTTCTTGCATTATAACAACAATGCTAATCTGCCTCCTCCTGGTGATCCATCCTACAAGCTCTACAAAATCCAGCCAATCGTGTATCACTTCAACAAGGTCTTCCTCCACTACTAGTATCATCCTGGCAGGGATATCTCGATTGACGACAGCATGGTGGGATTCAAAGGAAAGACACCCAATTTACGTCAGTTCATGCCCCAGAAACGTCGTGCCAGGTTCGGTGTAAAACTGTGGTGTGTGTGTGACAGGGATCTTTCTTTGACGTGTAAAAGGGAAAGGAACAAGGAGCACACGCTCTCGTGATGAGGCTGCTGGCTTCCTTCACCGGGGCCACCACCTTCGTCTAATGATAAAATCTGTGTTCTGCCCAGCGTTCACCATCTTATTTATACTGCAGGAGCCTGGAATTTACATCAGGATAGATATGTGCCTCGACGTGGGAGTCCCCCTGGCGGAGGACAAAACACTCTCACCCAACACGACCATGTCCTTTCTGGGGATAGAGCTGGATACACAAACTGACCGACTGTCGGAAACAAATCTGAACCTTTTTACATCACCATAGCGTCACCTTCAAACAAATTCAGTCTCTCTCAGGTCTACTTAACCATGTTTAGTATGGCGGCTATATTCTAGATGCACTTGACAATAGGTAAAGAAGTTCATTCGTTTTCTCAGACTTCTCCAGGGTATTCGACAAGGTATGGCACCGAGGTCTAATTTTTAAACTTCAACAATATGGTATTGAAGATCCGTTGTTAAATAAGTTCTCCAGTTATTTGTCTGACAGATTTCAAAGAGTCGTTCTTGATGGTCAAGCCTCTCCTTGGGGTAAGATCGCCGCAGGTGTCCCCCAAGGCTCCGTGTTGGGCTCCCTCTTATTTTTAATGTATATTACATGGAGATTAACAAAGACAACCATCACAAATTTAAAAAAAATACAGACTGTTGGTTAACGCAACAAGGGACAAGTTATACAACCAACTTGTAAATGTTTATCCGAAAATAGTTTTATCAGGTTGATCAGATTTTATCAGAACATAAGATATAGGGATTTTCTTTTAACAAAATAAAACCTTCACGAACCTTGCTTACGTTTCTGATAAGTCACCAAAATGACAGCAAGGTGAGAGAAGTTTTGGTTGTGCAAAAAGAGAATCCCTATACAGTCCTATCATGTTCCTGTTTTCACAGTATGACCTCAAGGCTTGCATCACTGCCATCCTTCAAACCATCCCCATGATGCACTCATGGAAACAACCCTGGCACTTGCCCTGGAGGAGGCAAGAGCGGGAGCACCCAAGGCCATCAGCAGCCTCATCGCCCTGGGTAAGGAGTTTCTCCTCGATGATGAACAGCTTAGCATCATTGAAAAAAGGCTTGAGACAATCTTCCCACCACTGGCACTGAGGACAACTCAAGTCTATGCCCTCCCACTGTGGTACATCCAAAAGGCAAGTTACATATTTGTTCTCATATGTCCTACTCAAAAATCTTACTATTGTGTTGGTTTTAAAAGTTCTATGTCAGAGCCAGGTGGATGACAGATATATTATATATTTATATTATTATATATTATGAGAAGAGACGACTTAGGCTCTGATTTAATATTTTGCAATTAACTTACTTTGATCAAGGAATATAATTTTTTTAACCTACAATTTTCATATCTAGAAGTGGTTCAGTTTGCTAAAGTTCTTGGTGTCATACTGCAAGCCGATCTAAAGTGGTCCGCTCATGTTACTACCATTGTCAGTAAAGCCAACCGTAGGCTCTACCTAGTACGTGTCCTGAAGAAACACGGACGTATATAAACGATAACGACCTAGTGCTAGTTTTCTGTGGTTTTGTTCGGCCGTTGTTAGAGTATGCCTGTCCGGTGTGGCATCCTGGCCTCACTAGTCTCCAGTCGAAGCACATTGAATCCGTACAGAAGAGGGCTTGTAGAGTTATTCAAGGCAGAACATATGTTAGCTATGACAGCGCACTAAATCAGCTATCTCTCACTCCCCTGTCCTCGAGAAGACGCAATCTGTGTATGAAGTTTGCAGTTTCTATTTCTAAATCCCCTGTCTTCTCTTGCTGGCTGCCTCCGAAACGGGGAAACGTACACGGCAGAGAACTGAGAACGAAGGATAACTTCACCCAGTTCAACTGTAGAACTTCCAGATTTATGAATACTACCTTGCCTTTTACTGTAAAATTATTGAATGGAATTTAATCATTAGCCTAGTATAGTATAGTAGAATGGATTTTAATCAATAGGTCTCTTTTAATGTAAAGCTATTTAATGAATTTTAATCAGCATTCACCTTGTCTTTTAGCCTATATTTGTAGAATTGATTTTGATTAATTAGTAATAGTACCTTGTCTGAAAGGGTAGACATGTGATGGATTTTAAGAATTACACAGGATTTGTATCATGCCCTAATTAAGCCAGATAAGGCTGCAACGGTATGTCTGAGCACGTGTTGCAAATAAACCAGTCATCATCATCATCATCACCATCTTCAGTACATCCTTAGAATGTATTCTGTAGTACAGTTTTCTTACCTGTACAGGTTACTCCATCTCCAGAAAATCCTGAGTTACAGGAACAAGTGAAAGATCCCACGGTGTTCGTGCATGTGGCTTGTTGATGGCAGGTATGAGAACTGGCATCACACTCGTTCACATCTAAAAAAATGTGGGGGGGGGGGTGAATAAAACAGTTTCGTCCAGGCTCGTAAACCATACTGGACATTTAAATAAAGCTCCCAGAGTGCACTACGTGAACTGAACTGTATTAAGGGTACTCATGGAATAGCTTTGAGTGCAGGTAGAGGAGGCTGATTTTTATGAACTACATTGGCATTAAGAAGGGCTTCAGTTTCACGACAATGATCGTACAGGAGAGGACAACACACCTGCACATGTAACTCCATCCCCAGTGTAGCCTGTATTACAGGTACAGGTGAAGGACCCTGCAGTGTTGGTACATGTCGCTTGGGGGGCACAATTGTTGGTTCCCGATGTACATTCATCTATGTCTGAAGAAAGCGATACGAGGTATACTTCGAAATGTATGTAACGTCTCATTTACTTAGGATTATGTTATGTCACTGTTTCTTGTGAATACTAATACTTTAAACTGTCGAACATAAGTTCAATTCGCATGGTACAGTCAACCATCCGCCATCCGTCAATCGTACATTCGTCCCGTACATTCTTGTAATATAGTCTCCTGGGTACAGTTTTCTTACCTGTGCAGGTTACTCCATCTCCAGAAAATCCTGAGTTACAGGAACAAGTGAAAGATCCCGCCGTGTTCGTGCATGTGGCTTGTTGATGGCAGGTATGAGAACTGGTATCACACTCGTTCACATCTAGAAGGGTGAGTTTGAAACAGTGTCGTCAACGAAAAAGTCCACGTGAATAATACTTAACATTCCGAAAACGTTTCCAGAGACCGCATGGCTTCTATACTGAACTGTACATGTATTAAAGGTACGCAAGAAATACCTTTGAGTGCAGGTAGAGGAGGCCAATTTTTATGAACAACATTGGCATTGACCAAGACTTAACTTGCATGCCTAAAAATGCAGCGAGGAAGACAGCCACACCTGCACATGTAACTCCATCCCCAGAGTAGCCTGTATTACAGGTACAGGTGAAGG